GGGGGGGGAATTGTACGAGACGAGCATTGCAATTAAGTCCCAAACTGTTGCTATGGAAACCCAGCCTTGCCGTGCTCAGTCCGCCACCACTTGCATTCATGACTAACGAATGATGCATAGCACCTTAAAAAAAAACAACACAAAAACAAAAAATAAACCCAATGGAGTCACGTTTCCTCAGAGCGGTGTATGAGAGGCTACGTAACCTCCATGGCCACTGTGTTGTCCGTTAGACTGTTCAGTGCTGGCTTGTCTTGTTCATGATTCTCCCTGAGGGCAAAAATTGAAACTGTTAGCACAAACAGGCTAGCATAAACTTGTTACTTCAGTTGTCTTAAACAACAGCACAACAGGCCTGCTTTAAGGCCAAACAATATCTTTACTCATGTTTCTACAAACTAGAAAAGCAACAGATGAAATCTGAATGTGCCACATTTCAAAATAAAAGCCCAGAAGTAAGTGTTTTATAGTGATTAGACACGTTATTCTTGAGTAAGATGTAGGTGAAAGGTACCGCAAATGACATTTTCAGGTTGGATCCATAAGGTAAACATTGACAGGGAAGTAATGTCCTGAGCTCAGTCATAAACATCTCAGTACGCATCCAATCTATGTTTTTTATCTTTACTACGCACATCCATAAATTTTGTGACAACATCTTGCACAGCTGCTCTCACATTGGTTTTGGACAGATTTTCATCAGACACATGAAAAGATGGCACAGGTGGCAAACCTTTTAGCAAGCAGTCCTATGCCTCATATACAAAAGTAAAGTCTCTTCTTTTTTGGTCTAACATGTCATCCCTGGAATATATCTCAAGCAGACAAACCGTCTGTCACAGAGCAGAATGACTAGAAAATGTGGAAGCTGGACAGCTAAACTACAAACTGAGCTCACAAGAACAAGTAAACTTTGAGAGCTGCCAACTCTGCTGGTAACTCAGTAGGTTCATAACAAACACATTCAAGAGTGTTCCACGTTGGACATGGCTGCTTTGAGTAAAAGGTAATAAATTAAAAGGAGTAATGTTGACGTTTTCCTGTGTGCTATTCAGCTAGGTACGGCCTTAGAAAATCACTTCCCCCCTCGAGTGTTTTCAGTTTTCCTTACCTGGGCACTATGTCCAGCGGCGAGGCCGAGGCTGTAGTGACCTTGGGTTTCTGACAGTTGGCGGCGGCAGCGTGGGCGAGCTTTAAGGCGGATGTAGACATGGTGGTGCTCAGTGTCCGGGGTGTGGGGATGCGCTTGGTGGCGGGAACACTCAGCCGTAGGTTGTTGTTATTTCCCAGCAGGACCTGAGTGGTGGTGTTAGTGGTAGTTGTGTTGGCAGGGTGAGTGGTGCCATTGTTGTTACTGGTAGCAGACGTGGAGCTGGTGGTGGTGGTACAGGGGTGGAGCGAAGCAGGTGTCGTGGTAGCAGTGGGAGGAGCTGGGGTGGCAGGGGACGGGGACGCTGTGCTCGAGAGGTGCAAGCCCTTGTAGACACCTGAAGTGGGTGGGGTGGGGTGTTTGGTGGTGTTGGAATAAACAGGATTTGGAGAAGAAGTTTTAATTATCACCTGATTTTTTTTTTATTTGATTTTTTTAAAAACCTGCTCCTGTTATGAATTTGAAGCACTGAATTTGCACAGCAATTTGGAGTTGAGTACAAAGTTTCAAAGCAGCTTTTTTCCTCCCTTCAAAGTGTGAATCAAATCCTTAAAACATGAGGTAGTGTAGATGTGCACACAGGTTTCAAAGCCCCTCGTTCACCTAACTTAACAGAAACTTTAATTTAAAAAACTTTGACAATGAAAAGTTTTTAATCTGCTGCGTGGCAGAAGAAAATGTACAAGCAGGAGGTTTTATTTCCCTTTTCACCAAATCAGTATTCAAAGAAAAAGTCACTGATTATCAGACTTCAGGTTGCAGGAGTTTGATCGGTGAAGGACACCTTGGTGCCCCGCTTCCATCTCCAGATTAATGAAAATCTAAATTCCCTTTTGTCACTTTTCTTGGTTATCTAGCAAACACTCCTCCATGAAGCGGCATCAGTCGTTGGGGTGCTGCTGGTGCAGGTTTTGTTGAACTTTCATTGTGCTGCCATCTGCTCTTTTCTGTTGATGAGTATTGAGGGCGTTAGTACTATGATTACTTTTGTCCCTTTGTTTGCTTTGTCTTGACTTCATTGTCACTGTACTTTAACAATTTGGTAAAGTGGACTTTTCATTTTAATAGTGCTGTTGTAAAATAAATGAAAAAAAAAAAATCAATTTGTTTTAATTTCAACATATAACTAGAATTAGAAGCAATAAGTAAACAATTTTGGGAACGTCAATACCAATATACCTTTGTTAAATTCAACAATAGTGATTACAACATGAGCCTTCAAAGCTAAGAGGCTATTGGGCAAACCAGTGGTTGTGTGGGAAGCCGTTATACCTGAGGGGGAGAGGACGCCATTGACTCCTGGTCCTAGCTCCTCCTTGGTTTTCAGAGCCAGCAGTTGGTCGGCGGTCACGAGGGCCGAGGCGGCAAACTGAGCACTGGCCTGGTCCAATGTATTTGCCAGGGTCTGCTAGAAGACCAAGAGTAACAGGTTTACACGATTTGAAGATTACGGGGGGGATCAAACAAAAAGTATATATTATATAAATATATAAATTCAGATCACTGCTGCTGGACAGTTGATCTGCACACTGACCTGTGTGCTGTTGGCAGTGGTGGCGCTGTTGGCTTGCTGTTGCTGGACTTGCTCCAGCTGCTGTTTGTGCATCAGGGACAGCTGCTCCTGATGCTGCTGGTACTGTTCAACTGTGAAAGCTAAGAGAAACAAAAACAGTGTTACAAATTCACAATCATAAAACAAACAGATCTTTTGACACAAAGAATATTTGAGCCAAGTGGTGGCAGGTTGGCATTAAACCTTAAACCCAGGTCAAGACACGTACCACATGATGCATACGGAGCCTTTCAGATACACTGGCCATGACACATTGTGCCTAATGGATTGCCACCAACTTTCTATCTTCCCAAGAAGATAGAAAGTTGGTCAAATATTTGTTTTCAACAACTTTTGGATGAATAAAAACCATATTTGGGAAAGAAAAGTAAGCTGCTCCAACAGTCTGAATCAAACAGCAACACACAGACACCAACTCTGTCAACTCACACCCACTCAGTATGCCTCGTTTGATAAGTCAGCAGGGAAGCAAACAACAGTGAGTACAACAAAGGCCAAAGACTTCAGTCACGAAGGAGCATCTTCAGTCTTGGATTTTACTGTTATGCTGCAGACCTTACTGCAAACTGTGCTCATGAATAACTGAATGACCGAACCAGAAACCAATTCACTATGAACAAAGCAAAACCACTACATGGTTTCCTGAATTACTTTTAACACCTTTTGGGCACCAGTGAGTTTTTAGTGATGCAATGCATTCTAATGAAAAGTCAGACCAATGTTTGGTAATGAGTACATCCATTTACTCTCCAGGTTATTTCTGGTGGCTTTTGTACTACAATAAAACATTCCAGCTTTGATTCATTCAGTTTTGAGTATATGTGGTAGGAAAAGAAATCGTTTTGGCCATATTCAGGTAAACCCAGAGTACTCCAGAAAATATATTCTCAGATTTCCTGCCTGACAACTGAGGTTTACTACAAAGCAAGATTATACAGTTAACAAGTTTAGACACTGAGTTTTTAATGTCACAGGTGGCTCTCTCAACCGGGCTAAATCCCTACAGAAACAAAAGTATCAGTTAAGCCATATGTCATGCCAGCAAATAAAGCCCTGCCAGGCACAGCAGCATAAAATGTGCACCCAAATAATGAATGAATACGTTTTCATACTTGGTCCTAATTAGCTGCCAAGCCCATTTGCATTGGATCAAATTAGTCTATTTATAGGATGTTATTAGTGGCAAAACTCAAGTCAGTATTTAATCTGAAGTGATATCCATATCTACGGCTACGGGACAGCTGATTAATAGATTTAAACTGATTAAGTTAGATTTTAATGGCATCAATAGGATTGGCATTGCAAATTAAATACACCAGGTGGAAATTGTTCCGTTTTAAGGTGAAGAGTAAAATATGCCTCTGAGCAAACGTGCAGTTTCTGAAGTAGAAAGCCTGAGTCAATGTCAAACTCCTTCATGAAACCAGTCATATGTGACGTTTTAGGTGTTGTAGAGCCAAAGAAAACCTGAACATGTTTTTGTGGATGTTTCATCCACCCTAGTATTTGAATCAAAGCTGTTTACCTGTAGATAACATGGCCGTAAGTTTTTCTTCATTAGTGTTTGAACTGAAAAGTCCTCATCTCATGTTTTAAAGGCATTATGTGCATCAGTGCATTATTGATGTATCCATTCCCTGTGTGCTTTTCACTTCTCAGTTTCATAAGATCCACAATCTGAGTACATCTCCAAGTCACAGCTCGTCCTGTGGCATTACCTCCATCTGGAGCACATGTCATTTTTATGTCTTGAAATCTAACACCGTCTAATTTAATCAAAAATCAACTACTTAAACAACAAGTGCAGCTGTCACACTTGCTCATACACAATACATATTAGTAGAGTTTATTGAAAGATCTGTGTTAATCATATCAGTCTTTCAGGTTCTCACTGAACCTTTTCTGGAAAAATCAATAAGCAGCTTGTTTTTTCATGCACACCAAAACAAGTTGCAGCGATATTAAGACACCCGCCGCCTGACTGCCCTCACAGTAAAACCACCAGGGACCTGTGGCATTTCGTCTCTTCGTCAAATCCATGCATGTCATGAATTCATTTATGAAATCCTGCTTTAACTGACACCTTAAGGAATGAAAGGTAGATTGTATTCATACAGTGTTACCCCCAAAGCAACAGCTGTTCTAGATAAACAAACAAATAAAATAAAAGATATAGAAATTCTTGCTATTGAAGCACAGCCACAAAACAAGGAAATAAAAAGGTGCAAACATTCGGTTAAAAATCAACCACACTTGGACATGTGTCCGGAACAAGCCACTCATTTCCAGCTAGCGACTCACTTTATCACCGTTACTTTTTCGAACTCTCCAAGCGAACGGCATCCATGGCTGTCATACCACTGAATGTGCTCTTACTTTAAATGTTTATAGTCATTAGTAATGAGAACCTTCCTGCTGGCCTACTCCCATTGGAAGACAGTCTTTGTTCCCCTCTTAACTTGAGGACCATGCTATCCTGAATATGCAATAGGATGACAGCTAGTTCAAGCACTGACATGCCAAAACTACTGAGGACTACCATTTAGTTTGTGCAGACCTTATGAATTAAGTCTGGCTTTGCTTCCTTTTCGCCCTGACATATACCTAGCCCAGCCCTGACATATACCTAGCCCAGCCCTGACATATACCTAGCCCAGCCCTGACATATACCTAGCCCAGCCCTGACAGCAAAACCTGCCACAATAAATAAAAATATGGGAGAAAAATTGCATCCTGAGCTCGAGCAGCTGAGGGCTGTTTTCCAACGGAGTTTTATTTTTTTTAAGTGGAATTCTTTGAAACCACAGAGGAATTAAAAGGACATTTTACCTTTGCTTTACTTTTCAGCTATCTTTATACTGGCTGATGAAAAACTGCCAATTACAAACAAACCACTATATAGCTAACAATATCTAACACCAACTAGCTGGTATCTTACCGTCTCAATGGGTATAAAGTTATGAAACCAACACAGCCCAAAGAGAACACAACACTGTCTGTCTACAGTCAGATAAGCCACCTACCAGCGACGGGTGTGGGTGCAGGGACAACCCTCCCTGGACGTTGGGAGCCAAAGGGTTGCCCTCCGGTGGTGGAGGCCGAGAGTGGGCGCTTCAGGCTTCGGCTCAGCCTCCTGAATAGAGGGTGGGCATTGTCCAGCTCATGTAGTGGTAGTGTCCGTGGTCTAAAGTGCCTCCATCGGCACGACTTTATATTCAACAGTATCTGACTGAGGTCCGTGGAAGTGGGGGAGGATGGGGAAAGAGAGGAACTGAAGGAGGAACTTCTTTCCGAGGTATTTGTTTCTGAGGTACTGGCAAACTTGTCGGTGGCCGGTGCGCGTGAAGTAGTTGCAGGAGTAGGAGAAGGAGGAGGAGGAGATTGAGGAACAGGCAAGTCAAGCATGTCTGGATCCAGTCCATGGAAAATGTTGTCAAAGTCTGTGTATGCTCTGTCCAGCAACACCCTGAGAGAAAAAGAGGGAGAAAAGCGTTTAACAACTAAAAGTGACAAATTTAGCTGATTTTGCTTTGTAGACATCTACACAGATGAGACAGACGAGCATAGAATGTAAAGCTGGATTCAAATGCCAGCACTTTGCAGTAAGTGAACTCACCTGCCGCCTCGTCCCACGCGCCGTCGAGCCATGCCCAGGCATCGCCGTGGCATGGTGACTGTGGTGAGACTGTAGCGAAAGCGAGCTTCTGCCAAACCACCCTCCCATTGTCCACACCACGGCCAGCTACCCACCCGATCTTGACGAGCCTACGAAGACAGACAGGACACTTAAGTTCACCTTTTCCACTCTTTCTTGCAGTTCTCTGGGTTCAATACATCTGACCTGTGCAGTTTAGAATCAATCCGCATCTCATCAGTGAACTACAGGCACCAATATATTGACTTCAGTACCGGATGGCATTGTTCAAGTTATGTTTACAACATAGTAAGGGTTTCCTTAAACATGTAATACTAATTTTCATTATTCATTACAGAAAACTAAGGTATTCTAAGGAACAAAAGGTAATGCTCCTTACAGCATAGTACTGGCAGCCTGCCTTCCTGCGAAAGGCATAGGCACCATCTGGGTCGTTCTCCTCCTCTGCTTCTGATGAGCCTGAGTGCAGCTGTGGATGAGAGACGTCAGAGGTCAGTGTAAGGTCAGCTGAAGAGCAGAAGTTATAGTACTGAAGCCAGAAGCCTTTGTTATTTTTTTTATTTTAAAAAATAAAACATGGTTTGGCAATTTTGAGAAGATTCATGAAGACAAAGGGCTGAGGTTTAGCAGCGGTAGCACTCCTCGTCTCCACAAGTGGAGAGACAAGAAGAGGCCGTAGTGCACAGCCAAGTGGCTGCAGAGACGAGAGGGAACAGAGTTTCCAGTATGTGTTGTACTTCATAATTAAGCAACAGAAGACAGATGTTGTCTTTTTACACTATTCAAAAAAAACCAAACCAAAACAACAACAACAAAACAGTGAATAAATCAATTTTCTGAGAGTGGAGGATTATTTCTGTAATCTCATTTTGCCCCAAACTCAATAGTTTGGGGCAAAATGTAACATCTTTTCACCGAGTACTTCCTCAAACTTTAAAATGAAAAACAAACGGAAAAAATAAAGGTAGAGGAGAACGAGGTCATCTAGTACAAAGCAAGGACCCGACTTGGAGGAGTTTGACTTTCTCTGTCGCAGCATGTCTGCGAGTGCAGACGTGTATGATGAGGGCCCAGGCGGCAGCACACCTCCACTCCTCAGGAGGCCTACACAGTAGCCAAAGGGCAAGCAAAAAGACAAAACTGGCTGCAAACTGTCACACACTACCCAAAATGGACCAGGTGAGAGACACTGATCTGGAAACAGAGGGAACTGCAGGCAGCCAATGAGAATCCTTTTGAAAACCTATCAAGCTTTATTCCCTAAGGACTTCTGTTTTTTAAATTAAAGCCCAGATTCACTCAAGCTGAACTGAGTACTGAAACAGCTTTTATGCAGGTTTACCCTGATATTTTTTCCTCCCCTTTCAATGATTATAAAATGAGTCTGGCTGTGCCTATGACAGCAGCAATAGGCTCCAGCCCCCGGTGACCCTGCAGGTTCTACAGTGAAGCAATTGCCTGGCAGTGATTCAAATCTTTCAGTTTGAGTTTAGATCCTAAAAATAATTTCCAAGTATATAAATCTTTGATTTAACTCATAGCCCCTCTTTAGCATCCTTTGGATTCTGTACCTACACAACTCCCCATCTATGTTTTCTATTAAGCACCAAACAATATGCAGCCAGAAAAACATATTTTCTGGTATCTGATCAGTTTTCAGGTAGAGGAAGAAAAAGAAAAAAAGAAAAGAAAACGCCTAATACAGACAGGTGGCCTCCCCCCAATTCTTCCTGTTGTGTAAAAATCTTACCTGTTCTTTTGGCTTTGTAGCTAATGAACCTTATCGCAGCATAACAGCTGCTGCCACTTTGTTAAAAAAAAATAAAAATACCATTACAAAACCATGCAAACTGGAAATAACCCAGTGGCACCATGCAAAAAGTCAAACTACAGGAAAAAAAATGCTGTGCAAAGAATTCCTCTGAGGAAAAAGTCCCAAGCTTGACCTGCGTAACATGCTTGGCTTTACATGAATGAGCGCATTTGCTTAAGCGTGCAGGTACCTGGGAAAAGGGCTCATCATCCGAGCTGGGGAAGTCGTACTGGTTTAGGTCCTTGGCGTTGAAGACAACCGGACCTGTATGGTGGGGTGTGCCTGATGATGGTGGCAGCACCTTCGGCTTCTTCTCATACTTCCTTTTCTGCCGGGGAACTTCTGTCTTCTCAGGCTACAAGAGGGAGAGCGGCCAAACTCAATGACACTGCAGAGGCACTTTAAAGTACACCTTTAGAGACCGCAGCTCAAGGGCAGCCTTTTATCTTGCGCAGTTTTCCTCTTAAAATATTCATTATATTAACTTTTCATACCACCATTTTCACTTTTCCTTCTTGGTTGCATTTTAAGCAGGTCAGTGGTTTAAAAACACGACCTGCAACAATGCCACTGACCCTTCAATTCTGGATATAAGCAACTTTAACTTATTCATCGGATGGTTTTTTCCCCTTTGTTTTTTTTGTACGACTAATTTTTTCCTACGGCTCACCTTGGACTTGTAGTCCTTGAGGTCCATATGGTCCTGGTGTCGGTACTGGTTGGTAAGTGGGACCAGGGGGATGATTTGTGGCCTCACCAGTGCCCTTTCAGCCAGAACTTCTGCCATAACCTCACCACCAAAGTCTGACATGACATTTCTGGATGAAAAGGAGAGGATAACTTCACATTTTAACCCCAAAGTACACCAATGGATGGGTGAAAAAAAAAGTAGTAACAAGTAAATATCTGCTATCAAGGTGCTTTAACTTATGTAGCAACATCCTCTGGGTGCAACCTGGAGGCTGGCTCACCTCTTCTCAAAAATCTCCAGTGTGAGGTGCAGCAGCTCTCGCTTGCTCTTCTCCCTCCTCTTGATCATTTCCAGGATTGTGACGGCTCGGCTGAGATCTCTGCGGAGCTTCAACATCTTCTCGTACGAGGCCTCGTCGTTTTTACGGTTCTAAGATGTAAAGCGAAATTTACAAAAACAGGGATAAGTAATAAAAACAATCCCCAAAAGCAACACTGATTGTATAGGACTGCGGAAATGCAGAACTAAAAATTAGCAACAGTAATTGAGAGCACAGACCTTCCTAGTTTGCATCTTCTCAGTGCGTCGTCGGAAGGCCACGTAAGGGTCACTGGTGCTTGAGCCGTCCCGTTTCTCCTGCTTGACGGTGGGGATGAGGGAGTTGGCTTTGCTGTTTTTCCTCTTGCGGCTCCAGTAGTCAAAGACCTCTTTGATGAGCTCATCATCCTCTTTCAGCAGCAGTTTGGCCTCAGGAAGACTCACAGCCTGCGAGGGCAACAAAGGAGATAA